TTACCTGCAGGGTGCCACAATACTCCATCATTGCTTGTATCTTACTCAACTTATCTACAAAGCCATTGGTGAACCTGTCAGAAAACACAGCTGAGATGCTTTCACTTGTATTCAGCTCTGTCTTCTCTTTAACACATGTCCTGCAGAGACAAGAATACCCTCATGAGTCATGACTCATGAAAGCTGGACCTAGTCAAAGAGGAAGACATCCTAGTGGGAAGAAGAAAGTGCTCGGGGGAATGTGCCTTCCTCATCACATACCACTTTGCAGAGGGTACCTGCTATTAGACTGTTAAATTGGTTTGCAGTCTTGATGTCCTGTAGGGTATCTCTGTGCTGCTAGATGTTCAAATAGCCATCTGTTGGTGACTGACCAAAGGTTTGGACTCCACAGTATTCAGTTTAGACTTGGACATGGTGATTGTTGTGTATATAACATCCACCCACAAGAACTGCAGTTCATTTTATCTCACAAGGAAGTTATACTTTAATAGATCCATTTGGTACACACTGTACATAAACAACACAGATTGCTGTGAGAAACATCTCTGCTTTCTGCACTGGCTCCTCATGGAACACAAGGTCTATTAAATGGTCTCCACAACCTGAGACTGTGACCAACTAAGAAACTGAACCAGTAAACGAGTGACTTTTAATCAAAAGAGAAAGGTTTTGCAGCACTTTGGGACTGAACTATTAGAAAACCAAGGGCCTCACTGCATTCAGAATTTAATGGAAGAATCACCTCTTTGATCAATTTTTGACAGTACTCTTCACACAATCCCACTGCAAGCCAATTGACTTGTTCAAACACTATTTTACAAAGGATTCCAGTTTATTCCAATATGCATGGAAGAGTAACAAGGAAGATGCTGTTGATGTTTTATAATTTAGAAATTTGAGACACACTCAGATACAACTGCTGTGGGGACATGTTAGAATCTGGACAGATGGATTCCTTTACAGTCCTTCACCATGCTTTCTTTTTTTTTCTCCTGTTTTGTGTCTCCTCCTTCCCTTGTATTCAGTCTCTTTCACTTCTGTTTCTGCCCCCTGTCATCCCTTTGTTCTATTATCTTCCCTATACTCAGCTTTTACTGTCACCCTCTCTGATGTCTACTTTACTCTCTGACACATTTCTATTGCTTTCCAGATCATATGCATCTCTCACACTAAATATTTCATACACACACCTAGATCTCTGCTAGTCTCACAAATAGGCTTTTATAACCAAGACCTCTCTCTCTCTCTCTTTCTCTTTCCTCCTGCAGTACCACAAATTATTGTACCCTATTCACCTCCTCCTCCTCCATTTTCACATATTCGCACATTCCTGCCCCCAGCTCACTTGCATGTACTCATGGTTATATGCCATCACACACACATTTCTGATATTTCTTCCCTGACGCAAACAATCCTGGATAGTATTTTCTTTTTCTCGCAACATCTCCTTTGCCTTCTACACACTTGGCTTCTTCCAGCACACACATTTTTGTACATTCTTACTTTCATTCCCCATCAATCTCTTATACACAAACATGGATAGTATGGTGTTTCCTCCCCCACAAATCTGTCAATGTTGTTGCTTTTAATTCCTCCTTTTACTGACAGCTACAGTACAGGAAAACATGACAGCTCTATGTATGTCCATATGCCTTCCCATGCTGCCCACAATAACCCCTGTTGTGGGCAGCGTGAGAGATTTGGGAGATGCAGGATACTGTCACAGTAGCGGGATCTACAAAATACACCTATAGCGGGTGGATCTAGGGCGGGGTAGATCTACAAAATACACCTATAGCGGGTGGATGGAGGGCGGGGGAATAAAAAAAGAAAAAGGAACATGGGTATTTGGAGTAAGCAAAAGAAACATATCTTCATTTTTACCTGCCCCTCCATTCATTTTTGCTTCAAGCAGCAGTGTTTATGACCTGGATTAAAGAGTCAGGTATTTATAATAATATGTATAAGAGTCAAAGAACTGTTGATTGGAAGGGACCTTAAGAAATCATTCAGTCCCTTCTGAAGCAGGATCAAGTATAACTAGACGACCCCTGTTAAATGATGGTCAAACATAGTATTAAGAACTTCTACCATGGGAGATTTCACAGAAATCCTCGATAATTTGTTCCAGCATTTCACCACCCTAACTGTTACAAAGTTTTTCCAATAGCCAACCTGAATGTCCTTTTCTGATTATTTCTTATATCCCCTAGCAGATCAGTTCCCCTAATCAGTTCTTTGCTGATTATTTCTTATATCCCTTAGTAGAGAAAGAAAACAGTTGATCACCAGCCCATTTGTAAGAAACATTTAAGTTTCATGTTTTTATATGACTTACCCTAACCTTTTTTTTTCATTTTAGACTTAAATAACCCATGTTTTTCATGCCAAGTCATGTTTTTCAAATTGTTTATCATTTTTGCTCTCTTCTGCACTCTTTCTAGTTTGTCTATATTTTATTTTAAGTGTGGTACCCAAAAGCTAAGGAACCTGATGTAGAGTGAAATCATTACATTCTATGTCTAACATACAAGGCTACTGTTGATATATTCCAGAATGGGGTTTTTCTTTATTGCATCATTGACTCATATTTCATTTATGGTCCACTATAACAGATATTCCTCTGCAATACTGTTGCCTAGCCAGATATACACCATTTGTATATACAAAAAGGATTTGTTTGGCTTATATCTTTTACTGAACAATCTATGTAGCTGGGATAAAGTGAGACAAGCATTTGAATGCAAGGCGTTCTTTGTCAGCATTCAAAAGCTCATCTCTCTTTATCCGAACTGCACAGTTGGTCCAGTAGAAGATATCATGCAGAGAAATCTTTGCCATAATTTCTGGACCATCACAGCTACAACTCACTCTTATACTTCCTAAGTGTAGCATTTTAGGTTTGTCTTTAGAGAATGTAATCTTGTTTATTATTAGACAATTTCTCCAGTTAGTCAATATTGCTTTGAATCTGATCCAAATTGTTTCCAGTCCCTCACAACTTGGTGTCATTTTAAAATTGTACTTTTGGTACCATCAACCAAGTCGATAAAGATTCAAGGAGAAGACAGAACTTGCATAACAGAAAACATAGAATTTAACCCAGGATGTTCAGTCAATAATGTCTGATTGAGCTAAATTTTATCTTTCAGAGAGGCATCCATTCCTGATTTTGAGACTTCAAATGATGTATTAATACACTCTATCTCTTGGTTAGTTGTGTTCCAATGGCTTATTACAATCATTGGGGGGGAAAAAAAACCCCATAACTTATTTCTAGCTTGAGTTTATCCAGTCTAAATTCTACTCATTGCCCTTGTCTGCCAGACTAAGAGCCTTCCTCCACCAAAAATCTTTTCCACTTGTAGGTATTTCTGGATTGTAATCAAGTCAGCTTGTAACCTCCTTGATAGTTAAATAATAACAGCATTTATTGTTGGGTTTTTCCAGGGTGGGTCAGTCTCACAGAAAATTTCTGAATTATTCTGTTTTTTAAAAAACCTTTTTATAGTGTGGACACTATAACTAGGTGCAGTGTTTTGGTATTTCACTTACTGACCCCAACATTTGAAGTACCATCACCTGCCTACTCCAATATATTTGTGTTTCTATATGAAGAGCTATACTGGACATCCCTTAGGCATAAAATCACTCAGAGGCAGTATGTTTATTTACTTTTCCAAAATGACCATTTAGGTCTTTCCTAAGTCACCGGTTTCCAGGTTACAGTTTTCTATGCTGCAGGAGTGACCCATATTCTTTCTTTTTATGTCTGTCTTTATTTGGTTGCATTTAATGGCACTGCTTGAAAGAACATACTCTCCAGATTTAAGTGACCGTCCTATATCATTTTTAAGCATTCCACTAATTTTTGTGTCATCTGTAAACTTTATAGGAATGCTTTTATATTATCCTCCATCTGCTTCATAAAGACACTTAATCACATTGGTTCAAGAACAGATCTTTGAGGGACTCCATTAAAAGCAGCATGTATGATGCCCTTTTGAGCTCTATCAGTCAGCGTTGGCCAGTTTTGATCAACTGAATATGCACTACGTTGCTTTTGGACAGCATAGGGTTTTTTTGTTGTGTTTTGGGTTTTTTTAAAGAATACACGGTAAGACTTTTTGTAAGGTGTTTTGAGCCAGTCGGGCCAGCAGAAGTGCTTTCTCTACCTGTTTGTGAGCTCATTGAAGAAAACCATGGTAATTTGATAACGCCTACTTTCTACAAAGCCTGGTTGATAAAGAACCTTAGAGTTATACTTCATGGCAAAGGTACTGCGAGTTCTGTACTGACAGGCTATGAAAAGAACTGGCGATGGTCCTTTTTAATGAAGGCTATATAATATGTTTCATGGAGAGTGTATATGTGAGTAAGTGTGCAGAGAACTCAATTCCAAAAATACGTAGGAAAGCCAGCATAGGGATGTATGCAATGGAGGGAGCGAAAGAATGGGAAATCTGTAGAGAGAACTTAATGCTAAGGCTGCACATTAATTCAGTGCCACCGCACCTTTCAGAAAGAAGGGGAACGTATATATTAAGAGAGAATAGGCTCCAATCCAGTCCACAGTCCAATGCCTTGTAAAAATCCTCCAGCCTCCTTTTTCATTTGTGGCTACAGGAGGGTGTGGGGAAGAAGGTGAAGTATTCATTCGCCGAAACTGAACTCCTCTCTTGTTTTAAGTAGGCTGTCTATGTGATTTTCATCTGGTTATTCTTATGTGAGCGTGTGTGTGCGTGAGGGAGAGCGCGTGTGAGAGAGTTTCTAGCAGACATGACGCTTGCTCCCAGGCTCTCTCGGAAGTCCTCTCTCGCGCCAAGCCCGGCAGGTTGTGCGGGCGGGGCGCGGTCCAGGCCAGCGCAGCCGGGCGCCGGGTGCTGCAGCAGCCGCTCCCGCCCGTCTCCTTTAAGATGCAGGCGAGGAGGCTGCCCGGGGAGGAGGAGGAGTTATGTAGATCACAGATGAACATTCTGGAGTGGAGGAGAGCGGGGCGAGGAGCGAGCCGAGGTAGCGGCAGAGGCAGAGGCAGGGCAGGGCTGGGAGCAGAGGCAGGCAGGCAGCCGAGGCCTTTCCCAGCAGGAGGGGGAGGAGGAGGAGGAGGAGGGGGGAGGACGAGGACGACACCGAGAGGCGGCTGCCGCGCGAAGGAGAAGCCGTGCAGGAGCTGCGGCGGCACTTGGGCGCCACATTCCCTCCTTACGGGACTGGCGATGTGGATGAGCAGGAGCTGACCCGGCTGCCGCGAGCCGCGTTGTGGAGCCGAGTGTCCGCTTCTCCTCCTCCTCCTCCTGCCCCCGCGCGGCTCAACCCGCACGCGGGGGTTCCCGCCGGCACGGGGCTCGCCCGGTCGTGGAGCAGGAGCGCTTCCGCCCGCTGGAGCCCGGGCACTATGATCGTACTCCCATTCAGCACTGGGAGCCGCTTGGATTTCGTGCAGCCGGCCCGCGGGGGGTTCTTGCAAGCCTTGCTTTGGATTTTATGTGCTACGGTGTGCAAAGCGGAGCAGTATTTCAATGTGGAGGTAAGATCGGGCTCGGGGATGTGAGATGAGAGAGAGCGGGCTGCTGCTCTGTGCGCGCATCTGGTTCCGGTTTTTCCTCCCCCTTCCAAGGGCTGCTTCTGAAATATTTGGGTTGATTCAATAAATCAGCAGCTCCCCAGCCATGTCTTGTGAGCAGCCAGGACACGCGCACACACACTCTTAACATACACACATATATATATATATATATATAACACGCACACTTACCACGTATATACAACACACACAACACGCATATATCACAAACACATCAGACACATATCACACACATATATCACACATCACACACACACATCTCTCTCTCAAGCACACACACATACATAAAGGTTTGTCTTTCCTGCAGCAAATAGCCCAGGTTGTCTGTTCTGAGATCTCGTGTTTGATCCGTGCCTTTCAGACCCACAATCCCGTTATCTCTGGCCGCACAAAGCATGATGCTGAGCGCTAGAGCACATCACTGTGCCCTGGCAGTGCCCCTCACATATGGTCTGTGTGAAACCCTAAACACAAACCCCCGTGGCACAAGAAAAGCAGCTGGGATGCAATACATACAGAACAGCTCAGGGAATGTGGCACCATCATCCCTGACTTCAGATGTGTTGCTCTTATTATTTCTTTGTGGGGTTTTGTTTTGTTTTTTTGAGGAAGGATGAATGAAAGGGAATCTGAGGTGGGCCTGAGGTGCGGGAGAAAGAAACGTGCTAGATTAGCATATTTCTTTGTCATTAGATATTTGTCAGAATATTAATTGAAACATATCCATTTTCTTGTAACTTGAAATGACTGAACAAATGGCACATAGGTGCAGCTACTGAACAGAAGTTGGAGGGCGGGGCAGAGGAAGAAACTCTTTTTTTTTTCCTTTAACACAGAATAGAAGAATAAATGTGGGGTTACCCAGGCAGGGCCAACCTTAGGAAATTTGCTGCCATAGTGAAATTTCATGGTAAACTTCCATTTCCAACTCCTCCTCTAAGCCAGCCAGGTTTTCAGTTGTTATTCATGCTTTTCATTAAGTACTTTGACTTTTTCTCTTTCTTGGAATTAGTCTCTCTTCCTTTTCCTTCCTTGATTCCTTTCCTCCTACTGTTTGCCCTGATGCATCTTTTTGTTGATGAATTTTTTCCTGACGCTTTTTTTCCCCTAATCTCTCTTTCACTCCAGTTCTTCCAGTTCTCCCTCTTTCACCCTTCCCCTGTGCCTCCCTACTTTACACATTTCTCCAGTCCCCATTCACATTATCATTCTGTCCTTCTTTTACCTCCCCTTACTCTTCTCTCTCCAGTCTGCCTCACTGAACTTTCTGCTGCACCCATACATCATACACAGACACTCACTCCCATCCTGACTCTCTCACACACACTTGTATTCCTAGAACCCCTTCTGATACAAATATACGCTTGTCCCCAAGATCTTTCTCTCTCCCGCATGCATTCCCACCCACACACATCTGTCCCCTCTTCTCACAACACCTCCTTTCCCCATCCCAGCTTCCACCCATGAGGCTGAAGTTGGTTCCTTATTCCCAGTTCCCAATTCTTTAGTCCCGGTTCCTGGTTGTTTTTTCAAAGCTAATCTTTACACAGTTAATAAGGACCCACAATTAATAACTTCACCCTCAACTTTCACCTACTAATGTTTGTTCCTGCCCTTTCCTTCTGGGAACAAAATCTTCCTCAGATGTACCCTGGTCCCTGGATCAGGTCTTACCATAACAAATCCTTACGTTTTATGTATTTTTTCCCTCCACGCACATCTCCTCAAACCACTATTGGTGTCCCCCAAGATAGTAAATTCCCCCTATAACCTCCCCAAGATCTTTTATGTATCTTGTTCTGGTTTCACCCACAAAACTCACCAGCATGCACACTTTTGGTCTGCCCTCTGAATGCTCTTCCATCATACAATACCAGTTGTATGCTTTCTACCACTAAGAGTTCACCGGCCACAGATTTTTTGGGCTCATCTTCCCAAGATCTCTTAACATAAGATGCATCAGTGGTCTTGCCTTGTATACCCATTATAATCCTAGTTTCTCTACCCCATCAGTAAGATCTCCTCTTCTAGCCACACTTTTGGTCTTCCTTGTCACTACTGCTTATCACCACTATTATTCTGCCCCCTTTCCCCCCACCACATTTTCCCCCAATATATTGTCCTTGTATTAGATTGTAAACATTTTGGGGCGGGGACCATGACTTTAATTGTGTTTCTGCAGTGGTTAGCACAATGGAAACCTGACCCTGATAACAGTTTTTGGAAACTACTGCAATCTAAGTAAATATTACACTTTTACACCTCAGGACTCACTCAGGCATTTTGATCTTTTACTTGTCCAAGGGCTCAGTTTCCTTTTTCCATTTGTGGATATGGGCTAGGCAGTTGGATAGAAAGGACACAGCCCTCTGTACCCTCTCTAGGTTTTCCACACTAGGGGATAAAGAAGAAATTCTAGTTACAGAGCTTCCTCCTTCAACTGTAGATGGCTTTGCCGGCAGCGGGCTCTTCTGGAGAGACGGGCAGCAGATGGAGTTAGTGTGGGAGGCAAAGAGAAAGAGAGAGTGAGCCAGAGAATAGTTTGAGTGGAGCATGAAGAGAAGGCCAGCCACAATAGGAGAGACGGTTTCAAGGAAAAGTAGAACCTCTCATTTTTGTCACCCCTGCTTTATGGAAAATGGCAGATTTGGGGGACAAAGAGAGTACCATGAAGGATAAAAATAGCTGGGGATGGAGGGGTGGGAGCTAGGGGAGGGAGCAGGTACCCATGAGGTTCTGTACATGCTATCTTTCTTTTCCTTTGGAGTGTAATGCCTTCATCCTTAGATAGAGCTGAATTTTTCAGTTCTTTTGTTGTAATACTGAGAGTAACCATGGTCACAAAGCAGGGGAATGCACAGCAAAAGATTTGGTAATAGTATGGTGGTACTGTGCCACTTGATTCCTTATGTCTGCATCAGCCCTGTAAAACTCTTAACCTCTGTACTATATCACTAACACAGAGTATGGTGACTTTATTTCAAGAGCCATTAAACTAAACATTGAAATTAGCCTGTCTCTAAAAAGTGCCCTTGGTCAAATTCATTGCCACATGATTCTGGTAGTTTGGAAAACAAAAGATGATGTTATTGCTTTTATCCAAAAAGGGGCTTTCTATGAATTCAAGATTTATTTATTTTTACATGCTCTTGTTATACTAAAACTTGTATGAAATGTTGATATACCTGTTGGGCATTTGAAATGTGGGTCTATCCTTTTCCTCTTGTAATTGTGCTTCATTTAGTCTAACATGTTACATGTTAAATAACATTTATATATAAAACTTGATTTCTTTGTTTATGACTCAGATTTGTTAGGCTGTGAGCAAGATTAATTCTCAAGGGATATTCTTGAAGTTCATAGTTGTTAAATATTGGTATGTTCTTGACAAAAACATAGCCACTGTGAAATCTAGGATTCATGTCAGAATCAGTTAAAGAAGCTTTTAGCTTTTATTTTTTTAAGTTTACTGTCATCATGAGAGTTTTGGTGATCATCCTTGAACACATTGCCTGTATCATAGGACAGAATAAAATCTAGACTGTAAAACTCCACTGTGCTGAGACATTAATCATAATAGCATTGTCATTGAAGATGTCAAGTCTACTTGTGTGAGCAATTGTGTACCAATGATGATAAGTTCTCAGGCTATCCCCAAGTGTTTTGTTTAGGTTTACTTTGGAAGTAAGATGCATCCATGAGATTCTAAAATGGGATAATACCTTTTACCAAAATATTTGAAATTTAGACTCATCCTGCTAAATGACTGATCTTTGGTATAGAATTCCTGTAGTAATCTGCCGGGATTTTTTTTTGAAAATCTATGTAGAAGAATGTCATTTTCAGGTGAGAAAATACTTTTCTATCAGGTTTTTAATTATTTCTTGCATTGCTTGATAATTAAGAATTTCCTTGGCAATTTCCCCTGTTGAAGATCCACCAGAGGAATGTCTCTACTAACATCCATAGGGGTTGGCAAGGATTAAAGCACTAAATGTGGCTCTTAGATGTGTAATGTTTTCATAAAGCTGACACTTGTCTACAGTTAGGGGTCTGGGACAGACATTGCGTAAATTGGTTTGAGCCAAACAGTTAAGTCTGATACTACATTCAACCAGGTTTATCTCAAACCAGTTTCAGCCATTCTCAAACTGGTTTATGTGCACTGAACATCTGTTCTGTTACAGGTTTAAACCAGTTTCTGATCACTTAAACTGCTTTATGTGTAATGTCTCTCCCTAGCCTGAGTGTTTCTATCCTTCAGTCGTTTATTTACATGGCATTAGAACCAGGTTCACAATTTTTAATAGAAAAAATTATCGTCAATCAAGCTGCCTGTGTCAACCGACGACATAAATATCATAAAACTGTTTTCATAGCCAGACTCTGATCCTGCATATCCTTACTCGTGAGGGTAAAGATGCATTGGCCAGCCTTATTCAAGTCAATGGAACTGAGCATTTGAGTAAGGATTACTGGGTAAGAGAGGATTTGGAAGATCCTGGCTGGCCTCATTAAGTAGATCTGTGTTGTGAGAAATCCTAGCAACAATATTGTTCCTCCTGATCTCTTGTCTAATGCAGACTATTATATTCTATTTTCTACAGCCTTCTGCTATATATATTTATATGCTTGGGACCCTAGGGGAGATCTTGAAGTGAGCATAATTTTAGTATGAGCTATACCTGAAAACAATGCAGCCTTCTCCCTCCACTCCTTTTTAATAGACGTGGCACTTAAATTGCATATTGAGGAACAAAACACACTGAAATCAAAACTTCAGAGAAACACTGTCAAGCAGCATTCTTCTGCGGCAACAAGCAACTGAGAGCCTCTTTGTTTTCATTGTTAACAAACTTCACAATTAGTGTCCTACTCCTGCTGAATGGTAAATGGGTGACCTTTAAATCCCTATGCTTTGGGTCTTTCTGAGTGTAAAAACT